CCCCTGCCTCCTTGCCCCTGCTTTACGAGCATCGCGTCCTGCAGGTGGGCGAGCGGCAGCGGCAGCAGAAGGCGCTCCTCTGCGGCCAGCAGGGCCTGCTGCTCTCCTCCCACTCCACCCTGCAGCTGATGCGCACCCGCGGCGGGGGCGGCACCCAGAGGGCCGGCGATTGCTCCCGGGGACCAGCCTGCGGGGCCCTCCCGGAGAGGACGGGGGCGGCAGAGCCCGCCCAGGCCACCGAGAGGGGCGGGCAGGATGGCCGCAGGGAAGGCAGCCGGGAGCAGAAGAAGGACAGGCAGGCCAGCTGGTGGCTGCAGCTCACGCAGAGCTCCCAGGTCTACATCCAGGGCTCCGCGGAGGGCGCCCGCCTTGCCCACTGTGAGCGGAAGAAGAAGGGGGCGGCTGCCCGGCCGCCAGAGGCCGGGAAGGGCCCTCCCCCGAGGGAGGGGGTGGTGGAGGGTGCAGAGGCCTGCCCTCCCACCGAAGCCCCCCTCATCAGAGAGAGGCCCCCGGCTGAGGAGGCCAAGTCCTCCTGGAAACAGGGGCCTCCGGCCGGGGAGGAGAGCAAGGAGAAGGGCCGGCCGTTCTGGATGGGCAGCCCGCCTGACGCGGTGCTGACAGAGCTGAAGCGCAGCAGGGAGCAGGACCACGGGACAGCCCCAGGGAAGGAGCAGCGCGTCGCCCGCCTCCCTGGCAGCGGCCAGCCCAAGTGGGCACACCTTTTTGGTTCCCGCCAGGTGCCCAAGGACCCCAAGCAGGCCAACAGGTAGGGAGTTCTCGGGCTCGGGGAGGGCCTTGAAGGCTTTGCTGGGCAGGGGGCTTGACAGTCCAGGACCCCCAAGAGGGGAATAAGCTGAGGACAGGTGGCTTCCAGGCTGATTGCCGCCTCCATGACCTGTCGGCCTTGTGCAGTTCTTTGAAACGGCAGGCCTTAGGCAGCGGCAGCAAAGGGGGGAGGATGGGAGGGTTGCAAACGGGGAGGGGCAGGGAAGCGGGTTCCGGGTGGCCAACCGTAAGGGAGGAGGCGGCAAGGCGTGCTGCGTTTTCACACCACCGACGCGGAGATGGTATGTGTGGGCAGCCTTGTCCTCCTCCCTGGACTGGGCTGGCCGGCCAGGCTGCTCCCTGGAGCACGGGTGGATCGGAGGCAGCTCCTGCCTGGCTGGTCCCTGGAAGAGCCTGGGGGCGGGAGGTGCAGCCCCCGTCTCTGCTGGCAGGAGATGTGCTGCAGGGCCTCAGTCGGAGGGGTGCCTTTCCTGGGCAAAGCTCTGGCACTTGCTGCTCCCCCGGCCTGACAGCTGCCCCTCTTCCCAGGCTGCCGTCCGGCTGGCTGAGCTTGGATCGCTCCGTCTTCCAGCTGGTGGCGCAGACGGTGGGAGCCAGCGTGTGGCAAGAGGCCGAGTCGGTGCCCAAGCAGTTGCCAGCAGCTCTTCCCCCTCCGCACCCCAAAGGGCAGCCGTCGGATGGGGTTGCCTCCCCTGGGGCACCATGGTGAGTGCAGTGGGGCTGGGGCCAGCCTGCTGGGTGCTCCCCCTGCCCAGCTCTGCTCTGGGGCTGGCAGACCCTCCGCAAGCTCCCTCCCTCCGTGGACCCCAGCGTGGGGGCGGGGCCACGTGCAGCTGGCCGGCCTCAGCCTCAGCTGGCCCTCACCAACGCTTTGGGCATGGCTGGTCCCAGCTGTGGACCTGTGAAAGGGGGCGGCCTGCCTGGCCCTCGGGTCGCTCTGGGTCCTGAGCCTGTGGAGAAGCAAGTGCGGGAGCCACAGGAAACTGCGGGCCGGACCTCCTCCTGCGTCAATCTAACGCGACCCAATGGCTGCAATTCTTGGCTGGGGTCTCTTCCGGCATTTGGGGGCACAACGTCCTGTCCTTCCCCTGACGGAAGAGGTCGGGCATGGCAGGCTGGAGGGCTTTTTCAGGGAGGGCTGCACCGAGCGGCCTGATTCGTGGAGAAAGAGCCGCCCTCCGGGTGAGGCTAGCAGCTGTGCACCAGCAGAGCAAGGGAGGGGTGACCATGGGACCCTTGCTGGCCCGCCGGATTTTAGCCTGGCTGGGGCGGGGGAGATCCGTTTGCTCCCCTGCCGTCAGCAAGACCCTTGACGGTTGATGCAGGAAATGCTTTAGGTGAAAACCTAAAATGCCCCCACAAAATCCCTGGCAGAAACCCGGTTCTGGAGGGGAAGGAGGCTGGTCCAGGCCAGGACTGAGCAGGGCCCTTTGGCACGCCTCCCTTTTCCTCAGGTCGGTGAAGGCGCTCTGCCACCACATAGCCACCGAGGCCGGGCAGCTGAGCTTCAAGAAGGGCGACGTCCTGTGTGTGCGGGGCAGGGTGGATGCAGACTGGCTCCGCTGCAGCCACCAGGGAGGAGCCGAGAGCGGGCTGGTGCCCATCATGTACGTCCCCCACGAGGAGGATGCGGATTATTGACGAGCGGGCGGCCGCCGGTGAAGCCCGGAGCCATGTCGGCAGACGGGCCCCTCGACGAGACTCGGCCAAGGACCCAGCTTCTCCTGCCTGCCCGGGGGGTCGGGGGGCTGCTCCTCCTCCCTCCCAGGGCTCTCCTGCGGCCACACTTTCCCGTGCATGCACCTCTTCCCCTTCCTCTACTCCTTGGGGCCTGCGCCTTGTCCGAACGAGAGTGGGGCCCCCTGTGAGAAGGCAGGGCAGCCTCGTCAGCTGCAAGCCGGCGTGCACGTGCCCCTGTTGGTCCCTCAGGGTGGGCAGGGGCCCTTCTCCTCCACAGGCCACTGGGGCCCCGGAAGGCCTGCTCCAGACTTTGGGGACTGTGTGCTAACCTGTATTAACGCTAGGCGGGGGGAGGGAGGGAGGGAGGGAGGGGAGGCGAGACTGCTGGTGGGGAGCAGTGCGGCCTCCGTGCATGTGTGCAGACGGGGTTGGTCGGGGTCAGCCTCCATTGGAGGACAGGCCCACATTGGGAGAAAAGTGTGTGACCGGCCACCTCTCCTGTCAAGGGCGGAGGCTTTGAAGCCCTGCACGGGCGCCGCAACTGAAGGGCCCCCGAGGCACAAGTAGGGTGATGTCGGTGGAACCTCCTGCCACTTGATGGAGAGAGGGATTTTGCGTGGGGGGGTTGCAGCCTTCGCTGTTTTTCCTGGGTTGCGTTCTGACCAACGGGCAGGAAGGGGCTCCCCCTCCCTGCACCCAGTGGGCAGTGTCATTCAGTATTTGGGGCTCTTGCCCGCCCGCCTTGTCCACTCTGCAGGATTTGCTCCTGCTGGTGTTGTGAGGGTGGCGCCATATTTAATTTATACTTCCGGCATTAGAACAGGGTGTCTCGCCTTTATTTATTTCTTTATTTATGACACATATTAATAAAAAAGGTGCTGATTGAGAGCTCCCTCAGCAGCCGTGCCCGGTGATTCTCCCTGGCTTCCTTGCAGGGCCAAGACATTGGCTGCCCCCCCACAAGCCCCCCTCCCCGCGAGACAGTCAGAGCCATCTCGGTGCTTCGTTCTGAAATGTAGCAGCTGGGTTGGCATCCCTTTTGGGAGCCCCTCACGTGAGCCCAGGGAAGGCCCGTCGGCTTTCCCGCTCTCCGAACGGCTTGTGGGCCAGCCTGCCACAAAGCAGGACACGGCCAAGAACAGAGGGGAAGGGGAGCCGGGGGGCTGGGAGGAGGCTCTCGCTGTGCCACCCGCAGGCAGAATCCGTGCCCGATGGGGCAGGGCAACGGGCCGACCTTGGCAACTGAATTCACTCCTTTTCCAGGCTCTTGGAATGTAATGCGCCCTAAACCAACTCAGCGGGCTGCGTGCGCAAGAAGCTCAGCGGCGCTGGCAGGTTGAGGGGCTGGAGCAGCGTGGTGGTCTCATCCGGCCAGGTTTTTTTGTGCACCTGGCCAACTGGATCTGGCTTATTTCGGGGTAAAAATGGCCTTTATACACCTCACCCAGGCCTGGTAAAAGAGGCAGCAACCCTTTTCTTCCCTCAGTACCTGCCCCCCCGACCATCACCAGTGCTGTAAAGGGTTCCTTTTCCGTGGGCAGCACCCATCAGGCAGAGCAGGAGGAACAGCGAAGGTGCCAGGGATTGGCTGGCAGAGAACTGCCTGGGGCCCCACAGGGAAGGGCAGGCTGCCTCTGATCCTGGGCACCTGAGGTGGCGTATGCTTAGCTGCTGCCAAAGAAGTGGGGATGAAGCCCCACGGCTTGTGGTGATGCAGTTTGCCAGTGGCTTGGCTTGTTTCTCATGGCACCATTACGGCTTAGAGTCCTGGAAGCCATGGTTTGACTTGCACCTTCGCAACAACCCCTCTGGGCTGAAGGCACGGCACATCCGTTCCCAGGACAGGAGAGCTGTGCCACCAGGATAGAACCGTGGCAGGAAGCAGCCTTGGGCACATCCTTTCCTGCAATGCCCTGATGGCAGCAACCAAAATGGGTTTCAGCAGCCATCAAGGGCAGCCTGGCATATAACAGATTGCGGTTACCAAGGCGAGGATCAACACCGTGAGGCAGGCTTTTGCCAGTGGGTGCACCTGAGCTGGTGAAAGGTCCTTTGTGCCACAGGACGTCAGAGAGGGATCCCGAAGCCACCCAAGCTGCAAGCCTCATCCTTGAGGGGAGAGAGGAACCCAGTGTGGCAACGGGGCATAGCCAGCCTCTAGCTCAAGCACACGTGCCCGGTTGAGGAGGGAATCTCCCAGAGGCCCCGAGACGTTCCTTTGGGCTCAGCCAGGCCGCTTCCGCGTCTTGCCCAAGGTGCTCAGAAGCGGCCAGCAGCCCCGGGTAAATAAAAATGCTTGCGATTCTGCCTCTCCCAGCCAGGAAATCTGGGCTCCCGGGAACTCCTCCGGGTCTTTCGGGAACGCCAAGGTTTCCCATCCGCCCCCTTATCTGCAAGACTGACAGCTCAAGAACCCCAGAAATGGCATCCCCCAGGAAGTAGCCCCAAAGCCAGCCAGCCCAGGGACCCAGCAGCCGCCTTGGGTGTTCTGGAGAGCCTCTGGATCCGGCTCCCCCGGTGGAGGAGGGCGAGGTGGCCCTCGGAGGGGGAGCCGTGGGGTCCCCTACTGCGTAACGTCCAGCCCCTGCTTCTCCAGAGTGGTTAGGCCCAGGGCGTCACGAGTGAGGTGGCCGTAGGTGTGGCCAAACTGGAACTTGTAACCTGCGTGCAGACAGAAAGGATGGACGGAGTGGCATCGCAGGCCAGTCCACGGCTGCACTCAATGCCAAGATGTCCAGGGCGCTGTAAGGGAATCCCCGAAGGAGGCGGGATGCTCGAGGGCAGGGGGTGTCTGAAGGGAAAAATGGAAGCGAAAGGAGGCTACCAGGTTGGCACAATTGTGGGCCAGCCCTGGGCGCAGCCAGGGACTACCCTGAGGCGCAGTTCCCCGGTCCGTGGCAGAAACGCTCCGGCCCTTCTGCCTTGGGAACTCGTCTGGGGAGGGGCACTTCCTGATTAAATATGGGGTTCCGGGCCTGTTTCCCCTCCCTCCAAGCAACACGTGCCCGGGGAAAACCCCACCTCCCATCCCAATCGGCGACGTAGCTAAGGGCAGCCTGCTTAGACTCGTCAGTTGCCTGACTAAGAAGTGGCCGGCGTGTGGTGCGCTGCGACTGCGAGGGGGTAGCTGGACTGTTCCTGAACATTGCTCTAGTGCTCGTCTGAAAGAGCCCCAGCCCGAGGACAGGCCAGCCGAGAGGTTGCAGGCCCCGCGAGGGGGCGTGGGATGAAACAGGAAGGAGGCGGCAATCAGGAGCAGGGATGCTGCAAGGGAATGGCCGTGGCCGTGGCCGTGAGCACCCGGAAGTAGCCCGTGGAGCGGGCAAAATGACACACGCGTCCCCCGCAGTAGAAAGTCCAGCCACGCAAAGCCCTCGTTGGCCGAAGCGATGGAAAGCGTCCGATGATGCACCCAGCGATACGTTGCTGGCAGGGCAGGACTCCCTGCTGGTTCAAACCCACCCTCTGTGCAGCGCAGGACGGGCATTCTCGGGAGCGCCGCCCCGCTTTGGAAACGGGCAACACTTTAAATTCAGCTCATCGCTCTGGCTCCTACGGCGAGAGCTTATCCACGCAGCCGGGGTGCCCCAGTGCGAGTCCGGGGCAGGCGGGGGCTTTTGAGGGACCGGAACCCACCGCGCTTCCGCGCGCCCCC